TTTAGGTAATTTTCAAAGTAAAGGTAACAATTTTCTGTTGGCTAGAAAGCATCTCTTAGAATAAGTAAGGATGACTACCCCTCTTTTTCTGCGCTCTAGCCTTCAGTGATCCACAAGAGCTCTGGCCCCCTCTAACTACATCTTCACTCCCCCTCCTCCCCTTTCCTATGATTACTACAACTTGCACAGCTTTCTGGGTTGTATAACTTGTGTTGCATATTTTTTTGTTTCCTTATACTGTATTTCCCATAACTGGAATGTGACTTAGTTTCTAACTCATAAGCCGACATTACTACATCTGAGTCTGATCTGGCAGAGAGGTCAGCAGCCAACTAATTAAGCGAGGCCTCCCCAGAGGCGAGTGAGTGGAGCTGCGAGGAAGGTGCGAACAAAGTAGAATTGGAGACAAATTGACTCACCCCTCAAGAGTGCAACCTCTAGTATGAACGCCAAAACCATTTATGTGTATGCTTTTACTGCATTGTAATTAAGCAGAACTGAAATGGACAGATATTACTGAGAAAACCCGACGTCACAAGAACGCAGAAGCAGCAATCAGTACGAAAACAACTGTGAATGGGTTTAATTGACACTCTCCCGTAGCTAATAACCATTTGGTCAATGATTTCAGGAGCTGAGAAAAAATTGTCAGATTCAATGCGCTAATTTATAAATGAAAGATAGTCATTCAAATACGCTCGGCTTAAACAAAAAAGATGTACTGAGAGAGACTTTCACATATCGGTTTCCTATAATTGAAGTGTACTGAACAGGTTACTTCTCGAGTGCACAATACCATACTGTACATTAGAACTGCGGGTTAGACCCACCAACTCAGTGAAAAGGAATTCAAGAAATCGGAATAACATGAAAAGTGAATATCGAAATTTGCGAAAGTGTTATGTACGATGAGGCTACTCGAATACTTTTTTTCAGTAAGGAACGTTTGACCAATACTAGATTGATGCATAAGTTTTTCCCTCGAAATTTTTTGTAAATATCTCGATAGCGAACTAAACTGAAGATTAGAGGTATGCACCACCACCATCCACTACTCGATGCCAACGCTCTGGCAGCTTGTCTATTCCTTCCACCCAAAAGGGCGGGGGCTGGGACTTGAAGAAGTCGTCGAGTGCCTTCCTGACATAATCTTATGTTTCAAAATTTTTTACGTCCAGAGAGCGCTGCAGGTGATTGAACAGCCAGTAGTCGGAAAGAGCGAGGTCAGGGCTGTGTGGGAGCTAGGCGACAATCGGCCATCCGTACTTCTCCAGCTCGGCCTGGCTTGGGTCGTCTTTGCGGTGCGAGGTCGGGCGTTGTCGTGGTGAAAGTAGATCTCCACATTCGATCTACGAATACGGTCGACGTGAACTTTCAATTTCCTCAGCTTTGTAACGTATGTGAAACCGTCAGTTGCCTGCCCTTATCCAGCAGCTGCCAGTGCTCGAGGCCTCTTCTAGACCACCAACAGGACAAGAAAACCTTCTTGGAGTGAAAGTCGGTCTTTGGGATGGCTTTGGTTGTTCTCCTTTGCCGACCAACTGCTGCTTCCTCACAGGGTTATAGTGAAGAACCCACTTCTCATCTCCAGTGATCATCGGGTTGAGAAAAAGGTTTCTTCTTTGGAAAATGAGGAGAGAAGTGCAGGTGGTCACCCTACTCGAGCGGTCATAAGCGGGCAGTTCATATGGGAACTATCGACCAAGCGTTGCTACCTTGCGGAGCTTATCCAGTCCACGTACAATCGTGATTGATCATGGCCGAGCATGGTCGTCATTTCCTTGGTGGTGAGGTACGGGTCCCCCTCCACGTGGAACGTAATACTTCCAAATCCAACTCCATCGGCCAACGCGACCTTGCAGCATATTCGAGAGAAATGTCTCCTTTCTTTAACTTGGCGAACCAAGACTGCGGTAAGAGTTGACGTCCTCGTCGTGTGTTTCCGCTAGCTTGGTACGGGCTTCCTTTACATTCCAGCCAGAATCGTGAAGCAAAACCAGACTGTGGGGCAGGTACATTTTGACAGAGTGGTAATTGTGCGGCATTTCGGCCTTCAAATGCAGGGTGGGCGAGGGGTAGCTAACGTGGTGAAAGAATATCATGCACAGGTCAAGCACACGTTATGACGAAATACCAACATCCATGCAAACGAAATACGGAAGGATCAAACATAGGGGAAATTTTATGCACCAACTAAATTTAAAAAGAAAGATTTGAAAAGAGACAAGTGAAAGCAAAGAACTCATAGTAATCACCCTTGAAGCACGTAGCTCTATAAAGAGAGACGACGATTGCCTAATTTCTTTCTTTCTTTCTTCTTCTTTGGTGATTCTCCCACTTGGAAGCGAGGTCCGCTTTAATGTATTAATGCCATTGTTCCCAACTAATATTTGTTAAGGCCAACAACTTTGAAGCCTGCATGCTATGCACGAAGANGAAGATGTTTTTCAAGCACGTCGAGGCTGAGGCCAATCTCACGGACGCTGTATTTGTCGCATGTGAGAACAGCCTTAGCCTCGACGTGCAGGCCACGCCATCAAAAGCGAGCCGCATTTTGACGAAATAGTGCTTCTTTTAAGCGCTCTCTTATTGCACTGCTGCGAATATGTTCCAAACGCACTACCTCAGCCGTCTATCGCTGCATTTCCGTTTGAATGAACCCAAAGTGCGCTTTACCTTCTCTGTATAACGCTTTAACTTTAAGTACCCGCACCGTCGAAAACTTTCTTCAAGAATGAAGAAGCGAGGTGCACTGCTTGCGTTTTCCACAATGTTTTTTCTGGCAGGAGACGATCGGTACGTATTGAATTGGTTGTACTGCAACTTGAGGCGAAGCTACACAAGTTGGACTAGGTTTTTTGCGAAAATCAGACTGAAGGACTTTGTTGTTTGATTGAAGGACTGAAGAACCACACTGCCGAATTCCGGCACCGTGATTTCCACACGTCAGCACCGAAGTCACCTGGATCGCACGCCTTCTGGGACCTCAGATTTGCATCCGTCTCCCTCATTTTTATCTTCTGTGCGAGACCGTGCACTAGCAGGGCACAAGGTAGAGGCATGCGGGCCAAATTCAACTGTTTAGATACTTTGGAGGAAGTCCTGTCATCGTTTTACTGCTATGTTGAGCTTTACTAGAAAGTAAGCAACTTCGTCGCTAATATCGAAAAATCTGCCATATCGCTGGTCTGAATTTGGCAGACGATAAAAACTTGAACCACCTTGGTTTCGAGTTTTTCCCCTCGAAATTCTTTTCAGGCTTTTCCCTAACACTGTCCGCACACAGCCATTCTTGCTTGTCAACTTTTTTTCCAGTACAGGCTTTGTCTCACCTAGCTCGAAACGAGCAACCGAGGATATTCCTTCAGCAGCACCTTTACAGGTTAACTCGACAAATGTAGCTGGATTCAATTTATAATCGCATGGTTCTAGTAGACCGACTCTTTGAACATGTTTTTATTTCGATAGGGCAACTCTGAACGTACAAATCAGTGGTCGATGTTGCGTGGCGACTGCACCATGGGAATCTGTCAGAAGTTCTCCGTTGCGGTGTCTGACAGGACAGTCTACTTGTTTTAGCTTTTTTAGAAGAAAGTGATTAAATGGGAGTCACGTTTAAGAAACTTCGTGTTCACAATGGTCAAATCGAACTTGGCTGGTGATCCTGGGACCGCTGATAAGGATACTTATGAAGCCGCGACCTTGACTTGCAGCAGGACCACCTGATCTCTTCCACCAAGCAAATATCTAGACGTCTAGGCTTCAGCACATCTTCTAGCTCGTGGGAGCATCCTGTCAATTTGCCAACATTGGAAGTTGCAACACAAGTCTCCCATACTTTGCAGAACTTTGGAATAGCACAGATACCACTCGATAAGGTCCATGCATCGCGAACCTTCGCATACTTTCCACACTGGCCAGGCTTTGCGAGACAGCATCGGCCCATGCAGGCGCCGTAGCATAAACTCGTAATACATTAGACGTTTTTAACAAATAAAAGAGGTAGAAGTAATAGTAGGTCGTCTGTCACCTGCATTCGAGAGCCCGCGTTCATTCGACTCTTCTGAACGAGCAGTTTCATGCCACCGCGTGGAGGCACGGACAGCATCACTTAATTTTGAACAATAACAGAAGAAATATTGTTTCATCCACCAGAAACGTACTACATATGAATCTGCCTTTTCTTTGTAAAATACAAATGAGCGCTGCTTCAAGCTGTCCAAATTGTTCTGTTTCAAGCTGCACTGAAGCATACGATAAGTTGGTACTCACCTACTGTGATCAAAGAAAAAATGAAGCCAAAATGCAACGATTATTATTGGTGTCAAAATTGCCTGTTATTATAAAAACACTGATATGTACATCAGCTGGCCACCGCAATCCATGGTATGGGCCAATACGCCACTATGATTCCGAATGGAAGCCGGAAGCGGGGGCGTATCCCTCAAACAGGATCGATCAAAGTCCAAGGACTTTATCCTTCTGAGCTTATCTCACTGGTTTTCTTCGATTTTCACTGAATCCGCAACTTTTACCCATTTCACTAATTCCAAGCAAGCCACTCGGAGCACATTTCGCAACCCATTCCATAAATTCTATGGAACTCATTTGAACATCTACAGCACACGAAACAAGCGCTTTTTGGAGCATTAGGAGCCAGACATTTTAAGGAAGAAAAATCTTCCTTCGTTCTGCTACCGAATGCTGGTTCGATTTTCCCGATATTTTCCCATTCCTGAGATGCCGNTTTTTTTTTTTTTTTGAGGGAATTCCAGAAATTCTAGTTTACTGATTTAAAACGTTGTTCTTTCGGAGTTTTCTGGAACTAAATTTAGAGAACCCTAATCTGAAATATCAATGGTCGGTACTTGCAAAAAATTGATCTAATACCTGTAATTTTCGGTCTGATGAGAACCTGTCACTTATCTCATCCACTTTTTGCTGCAGAATGATTGCAGCTAATCGTTTGAAAGCAATCTGCAAAATAGATTCAAATGGAAGACATAACTGAGTAAAGAAGAAAGCCGTACCTGCAAATTGAGATGTTGGAAACGTTCGTCCATACAATGTACGACTATGCCTGTTTCCTTATGTGTTAGGCGTACTGCAGTTGATCGCTTGTTGACGTTCTGCCCTCCAGGACCCGAAGCTCGCATTGTCTCTATTTTCACCGAGTCAGTTGGTACCACTACCGAGACCTGTACGGAAAGCTAATTATCGACACAGTACCACGTAGGAGTAACAGAGTCAAAGGGAGGATGTGCATCTGTTTGGAAACCGGTGTTCAATCAAGTAGGCTCTATCGGTGTCAACGATAGCAGCTGGGCACCGAATGGCTCTTTTACTTCAATGAGTGTGGACTAGACGCCGTTCATGTTAAAAGTGTGCTGTTTAGTCTGCTTTGACGACTGATCGGTTTTCAAAAAGTTTGGCACTGTCATGGACCTCAGTTGAGCAAAAACTTGAGATCGCACGCTAGTAGGTCGAGCAAACGCGATGGTTCAATCCAGGTTTCGATCTTTTCATCGAAAAACTGCCGCAGGATTCGAGCTGCTTGGGGCTTGGCATGGTCATAAGCGGAGATGGCGTCCTCGTAAATATGTACTGCCACCCTTTGTTGATACTATCTTCGAGAGGCTGGTGATACAGCTCAGCAGTGACGGTCTCTTTATATAACAGGTACGTTAAATCTTCACGCTCTTACGTTCTACAGCCGTTCTACAGTCGTACAGCGCTGAAACTGCAATTTGACGACTTTTTACAGTCTGCCTTCCCATGAACACCTTTTATACTATGCAATTTTCCTTTTTCGCAGGTCCACGTATTGCCCCGCAGCCGGTTTTTCGAAAAATCTTATAGGGAAAGGAACAAATGCTGAGAGAATTTTAAACCAAAGAACACTACAGATTCAACTAAAACTAGAAACTATGGATCAATCAGCAAAGCGATTTTTGATTTCACGACAATTTGCCTCAAAGGTTCCGCTCTTCTACCCAAAAGAGCGGGACTCATAAAATAAACCATCTGAATTCTCGATGTATCTGATACGGTTCAATGTTTTGACCACGAATGGCAAACTCTCCTGAGAGGATGCACGGTCAACATACCTCTTCTGGCTCGGGAAGAACTGCAATGCTCGCAGTGCTTGTATGCATTCGCGACTTGTCTGTCAAAGGAATCCGTTGCACTCGATGAACGCCAGCTTCAAATCTATAACAAACGTCGATGTCAAGGGCTACCTCCAAAATCCTTCCGGTTGGAAACCACCTATACCTCAAGGAAGCGTACGTATTATCACCCTCTACTGCGAAAATGGCGGAGCGCACTCCGTCGAGATCGGATTTCTGAAGTTGAAGCGGAGTCCACTTCCACCCTCGCCATTCCGCATATTTGGCATACATATCAACGAGTTCTCCAGTGAACAGCATCGCTTCTTGGCCGCCTGCACCACTGAAACGCTTCTTTCAGTACTTCAAAACTAATAATAGTTTCAACATGGGAAACAATAAAAAAAGAGTAAGGAATAAAGCTTAAGATATGGCAGCACGAAGCACTTTGGTCGCCTTCACTGAAACTCTTATCACTGCTCATTTCATACATGTAGAACACTAGAGATTGATTGATAAGTGCGGTGTTTTTGTTGTCTTCGCGAGCCTGAGTTTCATTCTATCTAATGATTATTCTTGCAGCAAAACAGAGCATGCTGTAGTGCATGTGTGCCTTTTGAATAATAAGCGACATGATCTAAAACCACTGAATCCCAGAGAAAAAATATCTCAGCACGAAAAAACGACATTACTCATGCAACGAGCTGACAGATACTCAGCGAGAGGTAAAAGAAGGCAAACCTAGTAAATTCAACTTGACATTTGCGTAGTACGTCAATCTCGGTCACAGGAACAATACTGTCCACCAGATCTTGCTCTGCAGAAGCTAATGATGCTTCTGTTGTCAGACGCTCTTCTTCAGCCATAGCGCGTAACTCAGCATCCGAAGATTCTGAACGGACATCCTTGAGGGCGAGATTATGAGTTCGAATAAAGTGAACCGACCAGCTGCGAGAGCACGAATCTGTTCTACTTCACTCCGTTTCTGTTCAGCGAATTGAGCAGCTCGACGAATGCCGTCCCAATAGGCTGCATGTCGTTCCCCGTCCACGGCAGCCCCAGACCGGTGAGCCGCCAACCGTTTATTCACAGCATCAAGGAACGTCGTCGCTTTTTCTCCGTTCAAAAGAGTACGAACGGTCGAAAACACGGAACGTGATAGCCGCATGGTCTAAAACGAAAGCGTGGCCAACCACGTGAAAATCGGCAAATAGAAAACATGCAAAACTCCTGGGCATCCGTGACCTTGTCGCAACGGCTCTGTTGGATAGTTCGCGATTCTAGGCTGTATAACTTCTGGGTCAAAACACTATGCTTTCAGCAGCGTTGGGCATCGCAGCTACCACCTCTGATGCTCCTTGCATACGCTTCTCTCTTATGCAATCTTCCGGAAGATGTTAATGATGAATTTCTATGAGGTCGTTACTGTACCAACGAATAACTTGGAAAATTGAAGAGTTTTTCATGAGACAGTACGCTAGTGATATTCTTATTGTATGACATCCTGTCTTGGGCCACTTTGCACAGGTTTCTCCGCCCCCAATCGCACTCTTGTACTCTGAGTTTCCCCCAAAGATGAATGAATTACCTATATTAAGCAGAAGCATCAAAGTCTGAATGTGTTAAATCTAATGGAATTTCTGCATTATCGTGCATACTTCTATGTTTTCGCTATGTGCTGACGTATACGAAGACAGAAAATGAGGCTGTAATTAAGATTTCTATTGTTAAAATATTGCTCATATCAAACATCGAACTTTTTGCACATGGTATATGTAGTTTTCTGACGATTGGTCAATTTTTCCGTTTACTCCTATGTAATGACGCTAGACGGGTACCAAAAACGAGCACGTACAAGTGCTTTCAAGGTATTTTGTAGTACTAACCTCGAAATACTGCTCTTCGGATTCGAAAATCAAGTCTCCCCTTATCGATTTGAAATCTACTACAGAAATACTTGTGGTTTTCCGACTCTGATGGTTTCCATCGATAAAAATTATTATCTGACCTAACCGACTTTCTGGAGTGATTCCACATTAAAATTTGGGTCCGGGAACTTCTCCCCTAACACGGCGTCGCTCACGCCGCACCCGCTGCCTATCGCAGGATTGCGATGGAAGTTTGGAGCGCGCAATTTGTGAGGTAGGGAGTCCTTTAATTATTTGAATTGGCTGGCCGCTGTTTTCAATTCCAATGCAGTCTCGATCGTCGTTTACATAGGAGGAGTCATTTTAATTAATCAAGTCTAATAAACATGAAAACTAAAAAGGAACAGAAGAAAAAACGATAAAATCCAATAAAAAAGCTAGGCAAACAACGNAAAATATCGCGTCCTATCGATTTGGGGAGGCGGGGTGAGCACGGTAATTGCAGTGACATTTGCCGCATGCCGCAAGGGAGAATGCCGCGATAGGGGAGAAGTTCCGTTACCCTTAAAATTGAGACACAGAGCACAGGAATCCAATATAGTTGAATTAGCACATAGGCAACGGGAATTTTTTCAAAATTTCCTACGGAGGGGATAATTGACTTCTATTTATGAATGGTTACCCACGGATCTCCTTCAACCTCCGGAGTACTACTTTCTCGTTGAATGATCTCATGACGGTTGAAGACGAGACTACATGATGCGACGCATGTGGCGAATAAGGTTGTAAATCGTGGCCCAAAAGTCACCGATACCTTTCCGGAGATGCAGCTGATTCAGGGGATGGATCCCTGTTCCTGCTGTGCTAAGATGATCAATCTTCTGTAACCTCGCAGGTGCGTACGTATGTGAAGGGTCTGCGGTGCTGCTGGTATCCTGCTCAACGACTCTGCCAAAAGATTACATTCCAGTGACTGATAGAGAACCGCGAGATTTAGAGCTACCTTCCCTCAAACCTGAGGAAGCCCCTGATACGACACTTGTGTAGGAACGCTCGGGAGGGTCTGTTAAAATCTCAAAGCCACATAAGGCAATCCAAAACAAGAAGGACTAAGATGGACACCTGCACTTTCAATACAACTTAGGAAGGCACGACGTCATAGGGCAGACCGAGACGAAGAGACGTCGCCCGCTGAAGGCATTTCTACACTGGAGAAAAACACCTACATCACCGACACCAGAGGCGTCGGTGATGTAGGTATCCTCTTCAATACACAACTGGCCATGAAAATCGATCCGTATAAAAGCTTAACAAGTCAAATAGAACGTTTGGATTGAAAGATGTGGCTCAACCTCAGCTCTCAAAATAAAATTTTCGTTGCCTACGTACGAACATCAGGCTATCACCAAGAGAAGGAGATGGGAGCATCTGTAAGGACCTGGAAAGACTCTCCAGAGAAGACCACACTTCCTTCACGGTCACAGGCGATGATTTTACGCCAAAATTGGCTCTAGACGAACAGCTAAAGAGCTTCACATCGGGACTCACGAAATGGAACAGAGTGGAGTGAACAGTATGGAAGACCGTCCGAGCTTGAACAGCGCTATCCACGATAAATTGTAGTTTGAAATGCCTTCTTCCCTGTTATGGACATGAGAGTCGCCAAACAGACAGTTCCACAATGAAACACACCTCATCATTTTCAATCGAAAGCCTTGTCTAACAGACTTCGCTGTTGTTCCGAAATTCTATACGGAATCGGACCCTCACCTTCTCCCCTGGCCATCTGCACTTTCAGTGTATGATCGCTTGCATTAGAAGTATATTCTGATTTCAGTGCGTGGAGGTAGAGTTACACCCTCACGAAATGAAGCCTCTAAGACCACTTCGTTTCCTCTGCGAGTTTCCAAGTAAATTCATTCTCTCTTCGTTGTTTCTAAGAAGTTTTATCGACGAACATCGATGAAGAATACAAATGGCTCGTCGAACTCTTGGTAGTGCTAAGAAAGACTACACAAGTAGCCAAGAGACGTCTCCCTTCACTGTCTTTCGAGCTGATACGCAAGTGTGGAATCTTGCGAGCTACTGGCAATCACCAAGCTATGCAGCAGAGGAGCGATGAAGAAAGATCTGAAAGAGAGAAGAGCAGCGGTTTATGCTGGAGACGATTATCTACGACTTCTGCTCGAATCCTTCCGTTCTCCCTTCAAGGATTCGACATGCCATCAAACTGTATGGCGCCGATCCCGATAGCATCAGATCAAACCCACACGGTACCTTTCAAAGTGCAAAGTACCTACGTCTTGGAAAACTAACTAGACTGTGTTGCTGTATGAGAAGGGAGATCCAGACGATACCGCCACTACATCCCAACTTGTCTGCCACTTCTAATCTACAAATTTTTCACATGCGTCATCCTCAATAGGATTATCAGAACGCTAAATGAAGGGCAGCAATGTAAGCAAGCACGGCTCCGGAGAGAGTTCATTACAATCGATTACATTCACAATGTCACAAGACTCATTGAAGTATCACGAGAATACAGGATGTAGTTACGCCTGACGTTCATTCATTTGAGAAAAGCCTTTGATACGCAACCGGGGTGTTCCTATTCAATATGTAAGGATACTTCGTGTGCTTCAAAACAACTTCAGGACCAGGACCTCGCCGTGCTATAGAGGAGTCATCATCAACGTAAAGTGAGGAATTTACGGCTACATGATTTCGCCCAAACTTTTCAGGGCCCGCTCTCGAGAACATCATGGGTCATTTGGAAAAGGAAGATTTGGGAGTGAAGGTCGACGGCCGCTACTCACACCACCTCCGCTTTGCAGACGACATTATGACACCGGACATCGAGCGGAATGAATGCTGAAATTTGAGAGCGCCTGTGCAAACGCGGCTTAATACGGAACATGGCGAAGACGGAAACGGGCAAGCCGTGGGAACTCGGGAACTCATCCCCGAGTCCCCACGGCCTGCGGCAATGGCTCCGCGGCGACTCTCCGTATCCTTCCATCAGGGATTCGAATCTTTCCCTTCTTAGAGCGCGATCGCGTGCGGCGAGTGCGACCGCCGTTCGGGGAGAAGATGCTAGACCCATGAGAAACGGATTGGTACCTGGTGCTCCCCTTACGCTTGACGGAACGACTACCTCTGAATGTTCTAGCTACGTGTTTCGAGGTCGAGAAGTCAACTTAATGAACGACCTAGCTCCGGAACTGAGCAGAAGGAAACGAACAGCGCTCAAGATCGTCGAGGGAGCGGTAGGAAAACAAAGAACGTCCGGTTCCGCGCTTTTCCGAGACTGTTGTCCTTCTTGCTTTCCGCCTCGGAGACTAGGACTCTATGAAAGCAGGATGAACATGTAGTCAGCGTGATCCACGCTGTGGGAAGGATGATGCTCGAAGTGCAGAAGGGAATCTGGAAGTCCTAACTCCGTCACTAAATTACATTAGGGACGCTTTTGCTTACGCTAAGGAATCGAAGATAAGTTGGGCCGTACACACCATGCAACTTTATGGTGAACATTATACGAGAGCGGTTACTGGATCCCTCGCGACGTCAAAAGATCTCTAAAAGAGCCATCAGCGTGTAAGACTCTGAACGGATGGAATGCCATGCCTCGCAACACTCGAGCGAGGACGACTCGCTGACGTAAAGTGGAACGCGAGGGGGACGTTACTAGCGCCCGCTCGAGGAAATCGATGATAAACGAGGCGTTATTCCAAATGACGCATGATGTTCTAGAGAGCGGTGCTGACACGTTTGGGAGGGATGGCCCGGCCAAACATCTCTCTTCACGTTCGCAGTGGCTTTCTTAGAGAATGGCGAAATCTTGGTCGTGAAGTTGTCGTAAAGCTCACGAAGCATCCGTATGTGTTGAGGAGGAACACCCTGGTTGCCCAGGGCTTCAACTACTGCTTCTATCTCGACAGTATCAAAGGCTTCCTTCAAATGGTGAACGTGAGACACAACATGCATTTTGTTCTGCTATACCTGGATATCCACACTCCTACAAGATAGTAAATAATTTCGAAAAATATTCATGGTTGTATTTAACCCCTCACAATAGCATGAAGCAATGAAGACTGCCTTTTTCCGCTGTGATCGCCCATTGACACAGTTATTAGACTCTGTGACAGTTTTACAACGTCCATGACATACCAGCCCGCCGCCATGTCTTTTAGGAAACATTGAATTCCATCTTTTATCTTGTCAGCAGCCATAGCAGTTACAACAGAATCGCCAGTGAGACTAATTTTTTTCCTGTTTAGGAAACAACCAATAAGGAATACCAGGAACAAAAGAAGAAGCGGTGGACTACCGTGAGGGCAGTTCTGGCCGATCAGCCTATTAGGTACTAAAGAAACTTTCAAAAGGATCACTCAAAACCCATGAAAGGTAGCATTGTCTGATAATGGTCCTACACCGTCAAATACGTGAACGATGAGGAGCTACCCGATTCTCAAGGCCATGGCGACAGGCTTCCATGGCATCGGTATGGTGTGCCGGCTGTATCATCCAAAAATTCTTCAATAGGAATGAAAGATCCGTCTCTCACCATCAGGTGAACGAACACTTATTTCCCACGAAACTCAAACCAAAGAAAAAGTTGGTCATTTCTGCAGAGAGGCCACACTGCCTCTATACAGGAACATTCTCCTGAAGGAAACTTTAATTTGCCTTTGCACAAAGGCATATCTTTCAGTAGTAAGTGGTAGGTGTACCTAGAGCGATATTTCCGCGTCAACAATGTTCGAAGAAGAAGGACATGTGTGCAAACCCCATTACTATTTTGACTGAAGTATACGGTCGCTGAAAGAAAAGGATGTTAGTTCTTAAATCTCATGCTCCTTGAGAAAGTATTGTCAATAACCTTGCTTTCCGTCTTTTGACACAACCTCCCTACAAAGGGGTGGTCTTGTCGATAAATTCCTTATTGCAATTCCATTAATGATTGGATGTCTTTGGCATTGGCTAAGCCATGACACTAACAAGTGGGGCAAATAAGATGACGATCCAATTCTAATAGGGCAAAGAAGACAATCAAATGACAACAGTCACTGGAGATCGTCAGTCCAAACAGCTACTTGCCTTCTCCCCGCTCCCGTGTCCCGTGTGAATTCCAAAATCGTGCTGCCAACTTTTAAGTCTTCCGTGATTGAATCTTGTTCTAATGACAGTAGAGTAAAAGGTGTTTTACAAGGGACATGTTAGTGAAGCCTAAGCAGGACATCCGGTCACAGAAGGGCGCGATCGTGTTTTCACATTTTTCCAAACGTGGCAAAATTTTTGCGTCAGACTCAGGTAATTTTCTACCAGAACAAGACGTCATTTAAAATTGCAATTACTGGCGCGGACGAGGTTTTGTGTAGGACAGTTTGGAATAGTTTCTCATTGCCAAATTACTGCTCCATGAGTAACAATCCAATGGCAAGATACGCAACTCGATTGATATCCCGGAAGTAAAAACCAAAAATCCCAATCAATATCGTTTTCAGGAGGTGGTATCGTGACAAGTAGCGTATACTACTAGAGGTCCAGGAATCAAATTTGGGATTAATAGCCATCCAGACCAAGCAAACCTCCCTTCCCTCCTTACCAAGTGGATCGGTACCAGATACTTCTAAGAGGACAAAAGCACTGACTTGCACAAATTCTATTGTTCTGCTTGAGTGAAGTGAATCTTGGTCATAATACGTTATCCGATGGCACTCTTCCTCGAGGCTTTCGAGCTGAAACTAATAAAAAACGCTTGCACCAGCTAATTTTCCCCTAGAATACAGCAATAACTCACAAAAATAAGAGAATTAGAACAGTTCATCTCTGGAAATGAAAACAGACTGGTTTTGTACCATACATAATAAAGGAATAAAACGGTATACAAATTTATTTATAATTGCACTTGGAAATGGTGCCTACTGCGATCGTATCGCCAATGGAAAGATCAAAGCAGAGAGCTGTCGGTGTCAGGAATCTGAAGAAGCACCAATTACGCGGACAGAATCAGAAGATCGCATGAGAGAAGTATCAGAGTGTAAGAAGGCAAAGAGAAGAGGATCTTTGAAGGACAAAGGAAGACACAACGAAAGTCATCGACCTGCTCGGAGTGATGAGCTTCACAAAGTCATACAACAATATCAGGAACAAGTCGAGTGATCTTAATACAGTAAATGCTATGACAACGGAAATCAAAACAAAGCTTCGCACTGAAAGGGCAGACATGGAAAGGCAGAACCCTACAAGGGCCTCGTAACAATATGGCAGTGTAACGAGAATTATGACTAAAGGCAGTAATTTAGCTTAAACATCGCAGTTGGCAAAGAATTCTGTGCTAGCATGTATGTCTTTGGTGACCTGTTCCAGACGAGAATTCAAGTCGTCCAATGTTCGTTGGTAGTCGTCAAGCCGCACATCCGAAGCATCCTTCGTCAGCACTAAAAGCACATTTCCAATCACTCAGCAATCTAATTCTAAGAATAGGCTCTCCATAAAAAAGACAGAATGCAAACAGTTTTCAATTGTTTTGAGACATTCGGATGACGTCTGATGCCGCTTGGAGGGCGGCACACTATCAGTGAAACTTTACTCACCGCTGATATCATCATTACTTCGTTGTGCCTTGTAGAGCAGTTTCGAAGCTCTTTGACGCAGTGCTTCGGCCCGTTTCTGAGGAGCTTCATTACCTTGTGTCCTCTCCGATAAAAGCCGTTTCGCTTCTTCGATATCCATCTATAAATCATACAATGTAGAAATGGAAGCCAGGCACGAGTGATGATGAGAGCACAACTTACCGTCATCTGCTTATTTCCATGCTCAGCAGTTTTTGCTGCTTGCAAGGCTTTGTCAACCAAGTTGAATGCGTTTTTGGCGTCATCGGCTATTTGCAGGTACTGCACCTTGACCTTCTTCATTTCGCCTTCGAGTAAAGAAAGACTGCTGTTGACCTCTTTAGCACGAGCTTCTGTAGCATCAGCCTCCGCCTTAGCAGCATCAAGGTGCTCTCTAGAATAGACCAATTGTTCTACTTAGTTAGACAGGAAAAACAGGAAGTCAAATCTTATACATCAAGCGAAGTAATAAGAAAGCAGAAAGCAAAATGCATCCTCACCTAGCAAGCTTCATCACTTCCTCAGCAGACTTGATCGCTTCAGTAGCCGCCAACTGTGCTTCCTCAGCAACTGCAATCGCTTCCCTAACAGTATCTGTAGTATTTTTAATGGCTGCAGCACGTGCTCCCGCTTCCATTGCCTAAGAACACATTCGATAACATCACTGTCGTGCAAACAGTCAACAAATATCCACCTTTGCTTCAAGATTAGTCGCCAACGTCTTGTTTCCACGGGTTTCTGTGAGAATAGCACCAATATTGCTGATTTTCGTGAGAGAATCACGAATCTTCAAATAGTACGATTGGATTAGGCGCAGAAATATGACAAAGAACGTGAATAATAAATATTCTAGAGCTTGAAAAAAACACAGGAAAGAACCTTCGCAGTTAGATCCGCCACTTGTTCTGGGGTAAGGCTGATTTTCTTTGCAAGCACCTCTTCTGCTAGAGCTCTTATCTGCTCGGGTGAGCTCCTAAGAAAAAACTATGAAAATAATGACTATTGGATTTATTGGAACTGAGGCCACCTCGAGCTTTTCAAGAAAGTGTTCATTTGGTCAACAATTTGATCCAGTTCCGCACGCGAAGAGTTCGTTTGCTGAGCTGCTTTTCTTGCAACTTCTAAGGCGGCTAGCGCATCCTTCTTAGCGGCAGCCGTCGAATGAAGTACGTCTCGGACCAATGTAAGCACCTAACACGTTTCGATAAATAAAGATCACGTGATGCTAACAAAAAGAAAGAAACTGAATAGGAATTTACTTCTTCCGCCTCCTTCTGCTTCTCATTGAGTTTCAGATCAGCTTCAAGAGAAAAACTCCTTGCTTGGTCTGCTTTACTGACTGCACCTTCTAGACACGACTGACCACCGCAAAAGCCACAAGATCCAGGCCCTGTAACTTCGCAAGTTAGTACATTGATATATCAAGGTTCTACTCAGAGGCAAATTGAAATAAGAAAGCAGGTATCGGAAAGAGGAAAAAATCACCGCCACAGAGAGCATCACATGGGGCAGAGGCAGCTCCACAGACTTCCGCGTTCAAAGTTGGTAATGCGGCTTCCAGCATATGCAACTAAATAGAAACCATATACTAGGGATACTCATAACTTTTAAAGCATTTTATCTCACTTTCTGCTCACTCTCGGCCAAGGCTGCTTCGTTTTCTGCATACTGCTTTTCAAAGTCATCGCGGTTTTTTTCGAGCAAAGCCTCTGCATCCCGCGCCTCGCTTTCCGCTTCGGCTAACTTGCCGATTGCAGCATCGGTTCGTCTTTGAGCCTCCAACGATCGGGCCGCAGATTCTTTTGTTATGTTATATGCACCCTGCAAATAAGGTCCTTGCAAAGACCCTCATGGAAACGTCGGTGTTTTATTGTCTATCTTAAGAGTTTACCTGAACATCAGCTTCCTTGATCTTATTTGTCTTCTCACGCAAATCGTCTGCGGCTTCGGTGAGGCGGACAGCGTCTGATTGCAGTTGTTTGAGATCTTCTTGAGCAAAATCTACAGCCTGAGTTGCGTTAGAGACCCGAGCTTCAATATCGTCCAACTTTTCACGAGCGGTGCCAACCTGGAAATAATGATACCGTCCACAAATAGCGATTCGCACCTAGAGAGAGAACCAACCTCCTTCTTGAGCTTTGCAACTTCATTTTCTAGTTCTTCTATGTGTTCTTTACTTATATTGGCGTCTGCGAGCTTCTTCTTGGTTTCCTCCAACGTAGCCTCCATTTTTTCGAACTCCTCATCATAAGCGGAAGCTACTCCAGTGTCTTCGATATTGGCAGCAGTGTCAATAAGCGTGTCCACTTGCTTTTTCAAGTCTTGTATGATAGAATCCCACTGATGGAAACATTCGCCACATGGCTGACAGAAAGGCCATGTTCCAGTATAGCCACGGGCGCATTCGTTGCACAGGTCGCCTGATATGGGTTTCATTATATATCAAACCCAGATTATTTGTAGGACTATAACTTACCTCCAGATCCAGGAAGGCAAACACATGTGCCATTATTCCGATGACACTGTAAGCTCTCAGAACCAGTCGGATTGCATTCGCACCTTTTACAACCCTCTGCCGTAGTTGGGTCACCCCAGAAATAGTCTTCACATTCAGAACATGTTCGACCTAAAACGTACTTAACATGAAACCGCTACGCCAGTGTACACCAGGTTGTCATGGTGGAAAATTCCATTGTATGCAACAGGGTAAGAATGTGAATAGTGCATGTATTATGTTTGATTATCTCCCCCACCCCTTCTCAATCACGAAATGCATTACTCTCCTCCCTGCGAAACAAGAGCATTCAAACTATGAAGAAGAAGTAATGTGATGGAACTGAGNGAGCTCTACAACATGAGTCTTTCGATACCGATCACGTTCGATTAAGCAGCTGACTGGGCAATTCTTTTGAAACCAGAGCGTTCAACTATTGAGAAGTAAAGAAGATACAATGAAAGGTTCGCTGCAACCGTGTCGTACGACATTACTCATTTGACACCAGCCAATATTGATTTGAGTAGCAGGGTAGAAGAACACAATGCTCTAGCTAAGCACTGTCATTTAGCTATGAAATGAGGGAGCCGGCGTAGACGAACGGGATATTAAAGCTAATAGGACTGGAAGGTTACTTTTTCTTAGGTTTGTGGCTACACTTCATGGGGTTTCAATTGCGTAGAATGTTTCAGAGAGCACAGCTGAATCGCGGTGGAAATTCTCTGACACTCCCGCATAACCATTATAAACCGCCTTGATCACTAGTTAATTGACAGCAACAGGGAAAACTATTTCAAATAAATTCCGATACAATAACTCATCCAACAAATCTACGACTGTGACCGAGGTTTTTTATAGACAAAGTCGGACTCACCTCCTCGTCCAACTTTGCAATGGCATCTTCCATCAAACTGGTTGCATTGCAGCTCAGGCGATCCATGCGCATCGAGTGCAACACCATTCGGATCGCAATTACAGGCAGCACACCCCTAAAGGAATAATATCCAAGTAATGTCTGCATCATCATGGATGGCGTCTTAAAACCAGCCAACAAAATTTAGCGCTACCATTAAATCCAAGTTAAAAAAAACACACAGACACACTGCGCCTTTGCATGAACATGAAGGAGCGGGCGCACTGGATTAACATAGTTGGCACTTACTTGCCCACTGCTAAGATCGTAGTGATTCTCGGCGCACTGATCGCACTGCATTCCGATAACATTTGGATAGCAAGGGCACTGGCCGGTCACTCTATCACAAGTTCCAGCACTTGAGTTGGTACCGAGATTATTGCAGACACATCTGAAACAAACCAAATTAAAAATCAAAACAAAAATTAAAATCGACCATAAAACGAAAGCGCCACTCCATGAAGTTACTGTAGAACAATTAAGCTTTGGAAGAATAACTAACGAAGTAGCTCAAGGTTTACAAATGACATGAAAAAGAAGAGTGAAAAAAAAACAAAGTTCAACGGGGGATAAAGGCAACAATCGTAACTGTTTTCGGATAAAATCTCTAAAAAAAATACGGAGTGCAACTTACGAATATGAGTAACTTCATGCTATGAGGCTGCTAGCAACAAACCAGGACCAACCTTTGACAACTCTTGAGCTTCGCATCACCATAGAATCCATCAACGCAATTTTCACACATCACACCTTCAGTGTTGTGAAGACACTTCAGACATTCACCAGTCGCCGAATCACAGCTACCCTCTACCTGTTAGAAGGGAAGAATGAATCGTCTCTCGAAACTTGTAAGTAGTAACAAACTTACTGCCATGTCGATATTGCCGTTACAATCACATCTTTCACATGAGCCACCTACTTCCGTTGGATTTCCCCAGTAGTTCATCGCACATTCAGCGCAACGCTCTCCCGTGTAACCGGATCTTAAACAATTATTTCTCCACCAGATATTGGGGAACCTTTCCAAAATCCGAACGAGGAGGACGTCAAATGAAAACGGCTGACTTACCGACAATTACAAACCACGTCTTGCGTATTATTTGCTTGCTGTAAGTAGCAAGTATCCGCGTGTTGGAAACCACTAGTTGGTCCGCCAGGACATGGACACGGTTTGCAAGGGAGACCCACACCAAGCCTAAACAGAATCAATTTCCTTCTTCACTTCGAGACACACATAGACTCCTCACCGAGGATCGCCGTAGTATCCGTCCTGACAACGGTCGCAATAGTGACCAGATGTAAGATCGCGACACTCGATACAAGCCCCAGTTTGCTGATCACAAATGTTTGCGTGATCATTGCATTGACATACCTGCAATTAAGCTATATGTGTCAACAAAACTACAATGAAATTGGATTCAGTCCAGTATGCACTGCTGGATTTGGTAACACGCGACGCTGCATAACTCAGAAATAACGGCCTAAACTGGCATACGACAAATTCGTGAAATGTCACTTTCACAACTGCCTTCAAGTCCACGGGATAAACCATCACCCCTTTTCATTTCACTGTACTGAACGCGATAACTTCAATCAATACTAGTTAATCTACTCTCGCCGATTCAATCACCTTAAAGCTAAAAACAAAAATATCCGGCAAGGGATGCAAAAACGATACCCACGTATCGGCGATAGATAAGGACCAAAACCCCGAGCTAATAACACCCATCTACCTCTCGAACTCCGTATATTCTTTGTCAGTTTGACCTGTGTCTGAAGTGAGGCATTTCGATTTTGCTGTCGGGAATTGAGTATTCATGAATTCCCGACAGCAAAACTGATTAATCGCTCATACACAAATGTGATTCTCTCGAGAAAGATTTCGAATATATAAGTTAACACTGCGGCACCAAAAAAACAAAAAAAAAATAATGAAACGAACCCGACAATCTGGGAAACTCCAAAAACCAGGTTGGCACTGGTTACACTGACGACCGTATATGCCTTTTTCGCGACATACACATTGTCCGCTCTGTTTATCACATCGATTATGAAGAGATCCAACGGAGTCGCAAGCGCACTCCGTACAACCTGACCTTCCAAAACCATATGTTCCTACAGCGCACTGGTCACACCTGGAAGAGGAAGATAGGTCCTCAGTGTGTGAAAAAGGTGGGGATCCAAATTCTTACCGTCTTCCAATTACGTTCGGTTTACATTCACATTGACCTCCTTTGACGCTACATATACCAGAAACAGAACCTGTAGGGTCACAATCACATGAGCTTGTTCGGTTGAGCACTGCAGCGGCGACGGGACAAATATAGCGTTCACAAGTCTGCAGAAGAAATCAGTGAGCACCGGAGAACAATGGGAATTCGAAGAACAGAAAGGGTAAACATGCTAAACTTTTCCTTGAAAAGGCTTACTTCGCTCAACATTTCAGGAGGAGTAAGAGACAAAATAAGATTTCGGCATTGGTAGCGATCATACTCAGTTTTGTGCTGTAAAGCGCGATCAGATCCTTGGAAAATAAGCAGGGAGTCGGTTGGTGGTGCCAACACCAACGAGTCTATCAGCACCCATGCCCCTCTGAATAAAGATCTCAGATAATGACCATAGTAAGAGCAAAATAACAGCTTGCAATAATGTTACGCTTACCGATCTTGAACGCCGGTACGCTTTTCTCCAAATTGCACGCGGATCTCATAGTCTACATTTGCTTCCAGACACACAGCAGGGTGAACTTCCACATAACGACCACCTTGAAATACTCAATTTATGGTCGCATTCAAATTGATTGTTTTATCAAAATTACCAGGATGGAGACGTGCTATTAGGAAATCATCAGATGGATCACTGTCTCTACATTCTCCACTAGGCTCACTAGGCCGAACAACAGTGACTTGCACATTTTCCCAACCGATTGGGTCCTGAACAATTCCAGTTACGTTCTGCTGCTTTCGCGATTAGCAAAAAAGCTATTTGAAACCTCTACCAAGGTAGCGAATTTAAATGCAAATCAGAGAAGATGCGCAATATTCAACAGAGGAACAGCAATAGGAACAAACGTAAATAAAACAAACCCTGCCGGCATCGTAGCGCAGTATTATGTTGTACTTTTGGCTGACTTGGATATTGTCTACTTTGAAACTGATGGCGCTTCTCTCGTTAGCTCTTACATATCCCAAACCGGTCCACACCATCGAAGTTTCTCTAGAAGGAGTTTCTTTTTCTTCGATTTCAGCCTGAAAGGTTTAAATAACAGTAATGAATAAACGAAAAAAGGCTAGCTCGTGAGTGAAACTACATTTGTGAGTCCAGCATTTTCTGCTTCATAAGTGAAATGATCAATGTTGGCACAGTAGTAGCTCGAATCCGCAGTGTCACATCTAAACAATGAGCGGTGATAAAAGCCCATGGCATAACTCTCATGAAAGTGTACTAAAAGAGATTACCTTCGTCCACTGAATCCTTCCCTGCAGGAACATTGTCCAGTGACTAGATCGCAATTATTGTTCAGGGATCCTCCAATATCACAGTCACATGCCTTGCACCCGTCGACATCCTCAGACAGCCCATAATGCTCCGGCTTAAAAAAGCTTAGAAAATGGGTACACTGAAGATATACAACACCACTCGAGTCGCACGGCTCTTGTCGGGTTCTCTTCGTTGTAACGCCTAAGACGGAATGTCTGGCTGAAGCTTGGAATTACTCCTCGGAAAGGGGGTTAAGTTTAGCCGTTCTACGACATAACAACTACAACTTTTCCGAGGAATAACAAATTGCTCCCTATTAATTATACAGCCCTCTATTCCATTGTGGTTCAACAGACTGCCAGAAGGGATTGGATTATTGAATCAACGAACAGCTATTGGGCCAGCAGGGCGGCTACGAAGAGGAAGCACAACTCTGACCCATGAAGTTTCGATTCTCGACGCTCATCCACATGAATATTTGTTGAGGAGAGTTTGCTGAGCGAGGGCGTCAACTAGGATTCTATAACAGTAGGTAGCAGTAGCAATAAGATTTACCAAGCACTGGTCACAATTTTCTCCAGTGACAAGACGTTTACACGTGCAGTGGCCTGTCATTTTGTCGCATCCTTCATTGTTATATGTTCCAAGAAGATGGCAAGAGCAAGTGGTACATCCATCAGGATTGGATGCCTGCAGATTCCAGAACCCATTTTTGCATCGATCACATCTGGAACAAAAACAGGGCTCAATATTTCACATTCTTTGTGTAGATCAACTGGGTTTTCATCCTTGTTATTGATTTCTAAGAGAGGGAGAAAACATACAGTGTTCTAAAGTTATGGCGAGAGCTAAATAACGACCAAAACTCTTCTAGTAAATTATAGGTAATAGGAAATGTATAGTATAGTATATTTATAAAATATAATAAAACCCGGGGAAGATGCCAAAAGCGAAGCTTCAGCATGAGTTTGAGCACGGTTTTTGCATATTCGATCTCAGCGAAATCAATATTGCAACAGAGCGGCGTCTCCAGTTCCAAAATATGTACGCGAAAAAGTAGAAATGCGTAAGAATAACCTTTTTCGATTTCGAAGGGTTCGACTTTTGAATAGAGAAATAGAGAAAGGCACAAAATTCGGAAAAGATCCTCACCTTGGTCCGTCTACGTTCGGCTTGCAGTAACATTTACCGGCTACAAGGCCACGCTCGGGATCCTCCTCACCTTCACAAATGCCCTGAAATATGTGTTTGCGGAACATGTTCGACCTTTTATAGAAATTAAGTGTTGAAAGACTCACATCATCTTGCGACCCCGCCTTATCACAGTTGCAAGGAAGACAAACGTATGGATCAGTTATGGGACGCTGAGGATCTCGATAGAAGAACGGCTTACACTGTTCACAGTTCTTTCCCTGAGTATTGTGTTGACAGTCATCGCAAACTCCTCCCGATTGGAAACCTATGAATCGCCATTGAATTACAACGAATGGGAAATGCCAAAGGCAGGAATGGGAAATGAACACTTCAAAAGCAATCTTAAGAACTCACCACTGGCTTGGTATACCGCTCGGTCAAAATGGCACCGTGCAGCGTGCCCGTTACATTCACACCTTCTACACTCATTCGTGTCCTCTCCAATTGCAGGACGCCATGGGAGATCATTATAAAAATCACGACACTTTTCACAATTGAGACCTTCCGTATTATGCATACACTCGCAGCGACCATGTACCTAAAAATACTATTGTAAGAACCATCGCATCACACATACACAGCATCTGGTCCCAACCTTTCAGCAAAACTCTGTAAACAGGGAAAGTATTGCCTTTAACATCTTCTAAGCCTGTGTAGCCGCGATTGAGAAAGCTCAACATGAAAATAGCACTCACAATATCAGCTCGAGACAAAGCTTGTGGATCATTGTTGTTATCGATTGGGATACAGCGCGAAGCGTGGCCATAACATGAACACGATCCACGGACCACAATTTCGTAAATGGCGTAGTAATACTTCTCTTCAATTTCTGGTCTAAACAAACGGTAAATGTAAGTAATGTGCGCAACCGTTACAAATGGTCAAACTTGCCTATAATCTAAAAGATCGTCTCCGAGAGTATGCAACTTTGTGAAATTGAATCGAAGGTTAGTAATTTTGAGCAGGTTAGCGATCTCGTCAGCATAGGGATTCTCGGTTGCAATATGAGGCGAAATAACTTTGTAAACTAACTGAAACAAGCAAATTAGACCAATGAATGGCGTAGAGATAAGTAGACATTGAAGCATAAGGGAAATGAATTGTGGAAAGTTCACCCACCTCTCCTCCAGTTGAAGGAGCAACGTCAGAATAAGCACGAGTGCAAATAACATCCGTGTGCTTCTTCGGTGGTCCTTCCGGGATTCCAGGAAACGTTCCTGCACAATCGTATGCAAAGTATCGATATACCTGCCTTTAAGATACAAAGATCGCTACATTTCTAGAGAAAATCAGAATTGCGATTCAGATATTACCATGTTTTTCCGAAATCGGCTGATCTCTCAATGATCATCGCGGCGGGTCGAAACGACTTGAATGTCATTATGAGATGGGTGAAATGGAATTCGGCTTCGAGATCAAGTTGTACGGTGACATTTTGAACACCATTTTCTGACTGCCACCAATTGCGATTCTTGTCTTCGTAGCCATCGGAAACAACATTTTCGATTCTGAAATAATATGAATTCCGTAAAAAAAACGTGTCCACCCAAATGATGACAATTATTGAAGAGATGTGCCAATATCGAGCAACGCCGATAATGATGCTGTCAGCGGGCCTGGCGAGCCATAAAAATTACATCGAAACCGAGACGTGCCATTACGACTACACCGGTAATGGCTCTTCTTATGAGCTATATACTATCTGACCGAAATATGAATTGCTCAAGTCAAGAAATCGTACACTGTCCACAAAAAAACCAAATTCTCATAAAAGTAAAGTGAAAACCATAGTAAAGTTTGAAAAAAGGCAGAAGTGTGCTTTTTATTGAATGTAGCCAAAACATTAGCATTACCTGTGACTCAATCTGTAAGGCTCCCTGTATGGTCTCCATTCTGTCCGTGAATCACAGTAGAAGCACTTCGTCTGTTCCTCCAAATGAGAAACGATGCAGAATCTGAAAGCGGATGGATGATCAACGACATTTGCCGACACATATGGTGTTTGCACCGCAGCCGTGGACATCTGCCGTAAGTGCTCCGAAAGTAAACCCCCATCTTCATACAAAATGTCGTGAGACTTCATGGGTGGGTGGGTAAACCGAGGAAGCCCGGCGAATCGGAAGGCTAGGAGGTGACGTTGGAAAACAATTGAAATGGCCGTTGGCAACTCCTGACCATGCAATTCAGGAATCTCTGAGGTAATCCCCGAAAAGGAAGTCTATTGGGGCATTGGGCTCTCACTGCATCACCATTTCCATCACATTCCTGATGAAGGCGGTTAAAGAAACTGGCTACTGTGGACGTCATCCGCTCGAATACTAATCAAAGAGAAACGAGAAATAATTTGACAATCAAAGGGACACCACATTTCCCCTCCTTTTCTAAGGTCCATCATTCCTTTTAAGGGTATTGAGCAGCAGTTTGGCTATGGAATGTAACTTTTACAGAGAAAATTTTTCAATAGAAACGAGATGCGAGGGTAATGGATCGAATAATAAGTGGGTAAAGGAGGTTGGCAAGGTGCACAAGGGAATAGAAGGGCATCTCACCTTTCTCTGCCCCTTGACCCGCAGGTGGACGATGATTTCAGACGATGTTTTCGTCCAATCAAAAGATTTCCAGTGATCGGATAACATGAGCGATCTTTACAGCGATCTTCCGTGTGTTGTTGAGCACTGGTCAGGATACCCGCTACAGCGAGCACCGCAACCGGAAGCGCCAAATGCATCCTGAAACGTCCGGGGGTCTCAGACGGTGGGAACGGGTTCCAGGGGAGCTGTAGGGATGTAAACTTACGCAGCGCCCGTTAAGCAGAAGCGACGATGTGGGCGCTTTGATGACGTACACCTAAGAAATCATTAGTCATACGACGAGAACGACAATTCATGAAATTACAGAACGAACTGGGAGTAGTGTTTGAGCCCAAAGAACACGAATAGCCACTAGCCGAGGTGTGAGAGACGCTCTGATAAGGATGAACGAGATAGTAGAACGAAAAAAAGGGCAGATTTAGAAGAACTCACAAATCGCACGTGTAATCTCACCATAAAAGTTTTTACTTCAAATCTAACAAGTGCGAAGTCGTCTACGACCGGAATCGGAGATGAAGCAATAAACCGGAATGGGATTACAATAACAGAGGACTGGGTGGATGAGTACAAGTGACTAGGCAATCAATGGCATGTAATAAGGGAGAGTTTCGCGCGGTCATCGCGGTACAGGTCGGGTCGGTCGGGTCATTTGGATAGAGATGAGGGGGGAACCACCACAGCAGTAGCGGTAGGGGAAGGCCGGCGCCGATAAGCGACGACACTCTGTCTCCTGCTCCGGGAAATAACGCCTATCGATCAGTGTTCGGAAAAGAAAGGGTCCGAATCAGCGCACTTTCGTGTTTTACACACTTTGTAGCCTCTCTGCTGGATTCTCGTATGCTCCGACTAGCCTGTGAGGGAAATGAATTCATTCCCTTCAGAGGGGATCACCAAACGAATCAAGGAAGCTGCCTGTTCATTGACCAGTCATCACATCATATCACCGCTCTATCCATCAAATTGTGCGAAGAAAAATTGCATCGCTGTCCAGAGGAATTCTCAAAGCACTCATTAATTCCCCTTAATGTTTTCCAAGATGATTTAATTGGTAGAGAATTGGCGCTCCCACAGTCCAGGGCACTACCCGGAGGTTCACCGACTTCTACTTCGAATGCTTAACACTAGAAATTGTATGGAGTGGACGTCCCTCAGACATCTCTACAAAGGCTAAACCAAGTGAACTACACGAACTACTTAAGAGATTGATCGCCATCAAGGCTAGTTTTCACCCAAGAGAAGTTTGGAAACTGAAAAATTCGTAACAAAACCAGGAGTTACCAATGATAGCCAGCTCGAAAATGCACTGAAAGGTGGTCATCCGGGAAAACTCGATCTCTCTGTACGGAACCCGAAGAGTAAAAGTACCTACGCCCCTATTGTTGATCTTCGAGGATACTCTGCAAACTAAACGTTAACCCAAACATTCGAAGGGTACTCGAGGACGTGAGAGACAATATGCACGACACATCTTGCGTGGACGAAATTTCATTAAAAAAATGGAATCTCAAAAAAAAGTTGTATCGGCAAATATGAAAGGAATCGGCAAAAGATGAGAGTGTTGCAAAAAAAGTAGTAAGAAAGGAAGAACATTGATAGAGACAAGAACAAGAGGACTCAAGCGGATGCAGTTTGATTATGGTAGGTATGTGTGGCTGAATGAGTGAAGAATGAGACCTCGCAGTGCGAGAGAGGGAGGTTGCCGTTAAAGGAAGTTCCAGGAATCATACCTTTACATTACGTCTGTGGAACGGGGCAATGGGGTAATGAGCTGTTGCGCTAAGTAGATCGGTGAGAAATGGAAAGTGGCAGTCAATGAGGATGGGGATGATTATTATGTTAGTGGGTTGCCGTAGATTAAGATGGTCCCAGAGAAACTCGAATAATCAATGTGGGGCCCCAATAGATAAAAAAGATAACTTGGTGGGGCTCGATAAAGTGCCCGCGATGCGCCACGCATTCAACTTACATTCGGATCGACAGACCCATTTCAGCGGACGTCTACGGAAACCCAGACATTATATCTAAAACTAAATGCTCTACTTTTATGTTCTCTGAAATATCTAGTATCACCCTGCTGACCCTACTTTTCCCAGGTGGTCCGGTCACACTGGGACTCCGCCCTGGAAAGGTACAGATGGGATAAAGGGCGTTTCCGTTCTATCAAGAATGATAGGTTCCGCCGATTACCGAAAAAATGTTGCAAAAAAGGGGACGATTCCAAAGATTTGTTAGAAATGTGTACCCGTGAGTTAGTGGCTATCAGAGCCTTCATAAACATTTCAATGTAGGTGGGAGGTTTTAAAGAATTTTCTACACTTGTATAATTGAAGGGTAATAGATCAGAGTAGTCTGATTAGGTACGATAAATCATCCAAAAAATGAAAAAGACGGTTCCACTACTTTCGAAGAATGTCTTGAAAAACTCCAGTCCAATGGCGTACGTCGAAGTGGTCGCACAGGAAATGTAAGAAGATATACCTGATGAACCGCAGGAAATAGCCCCAAGAAAAAAAAATGGCAAAAACAAGGAGAACGGTTGAAAGACCTCAAACTCGCATTGATTTGAATCATACTTCACCCTTCCTAACGGGTGTACGGAGAGAGTTCGAATAGATCAGTAAATATTAGGTTGATGCATAATTATTGCGGATTTTTTCATGGCTTCTTTTTTCTCCATACAATTCGAACATTAGGTTTGGGTTTTCTATAGAAATGATCTCCATGATTTTCTCTACAAAAATATGCCTAAAAAACCATCCGCAGATTCGCAAAATTGTGCTCTACTACTTCGAGAAAGGTTGGAAGGTGGCAGGGTCATTCCGCGATGGAACACTCAGCCAAAGCCAACTAAGGTATGGGATCTGCTTCTGTGTCTACCATATTCACCGGCAGAAACTTTTATGGATTATCACATCAGCCGCTCTTTGAAAAAACTGGCTAGGGAGTAGAAGCTACGACGATTTGGATGACTTGATGGCAAATGCCAAAGCGTGGGTCGCCTCTAAGGATAAAAACTTTTTCGCCTTTGGAATCCGGCTACCTAGCCAATGGGAACCAATGCTTGACGTGGATGGTGGATAAGTTCCGGAGTAATTATTTGAACATGTTTTTGTTCGGTATTTTCATCGTTTGTTTATGTAAAATTCGTTGGAAAAAATCCGCAATAAATATGCATCAACCTAACAACTTCGACCCCTGTATCCAGCTCCCAACTCGACTGTTGCAATTGCTTAATGTAGTAGTAGTAATAGTAGTGACCATATGGCAGACTGACTAGATGATGAAGATTTTTTTGTTGAGCAATCCATTTCTGAGATGTACCCACCCATTCGACTGTCAACCGAAATCGCAGTAGCGTTTGAATGTGCATGGGGGCTATTAGTGAAGTCAGCCGATGTTCATGACAGTGGTTTATCCCTCAAGACAAGCCTGGTATCACCTAATCGATCCTGGCGAGATGGCCTGGGCGGATATTCGATATCTCGGCTCATACACGTGCATTACTTGGCACCACCCACATACGTGATCATCTACTCTACAATAAATAGATGAGAGCGTTGGCGGGTAATAAACAAACCTTCCCACATCCAGAGATTTCTATCCCATGTTACCGTAATCTCTTTTCGCGATCCCTCGTCGGTGACCGATCGGATTTCGATCTCACTCCCTCGCCGCTCATTCTTTTTGATTCAACTTGATTACTTTAAGTCTGATCCCTTGTGATTGATGAAATGAAGAGAAGTACAAGAAGAAACCAAGATTTGTCATTACTATTTTCTTCATTAAGCGGAAGTTTAGGATGGTTTCTTGCCAAAGCACTCAGAAAAGCGCTCGGTTTAGAAATGGCCTCATTTTGCAAAATTTTGTTCGGATGACGGATGGGGTTATGCTCGATCAAAAATAGAAGAGCGTCCTCTTGATGGGCGAAATTATTTTTGAATATGAACAAGAAAACGATCTTACACAATTCGACATGCTTTCTCTTGGATGAATCACATCGAGATCAAAGTGCCTTTTGAACTTCGAGAGAGAGAGAGGTAACATGTGCTCAAGATTAAGACAGGGGAACAAATGGCTACGAGAGTTCATCCCCATTGTTCTCTCTGAAGAGGATTGGAGACCCTTTGAACAAGCTGTTGCAACCTTTAGTGAAGAAGAAAGGAACTCAAGGATTTTCATAGAAATCCATACCAAAGAGACTGGGATCGAGGTAGAAGTGGGAGAAAGCAATGGCGATGAACGCTAGGATTCCCTAGCAATATTTCAAGAGGAGATCAGTGGAATAGAGAACCAATTAGACACTTCAGGAGAGTGAACATCTGCAACTGATTGGAATTGAACATTGTTTCATTTAAAGCTCCATGGAACAGTTGCAAACCAGTTCTTCGTTGTATGGGAATCCATAATGGAAAATGGAAGCAGCTGGGCGAGAAAAAGAAGCAAAACCGTTAAGAAAATGTTGTGAAGGGAAGGACAGCTGAATTCACACGTGTGCCATCAGCGCCAGATTGTTTGGTTGCAGACTACGAAGAAAGCACTAAACCGAATGTCGCGTTGCGCTGGAAGATATGTGAACTAGCGGATCTAAGCAACTATACGGAAAAGCTGCATCCCGTAAGTACAATAGCTCGACCACTATTTGCTCATGAGGTCTCAGCTGAAGGTAGTCTCACTTATTTGTGTGGTTAGGTGTCTAATTGCAACAAAGGGCATAACTACGCGAGATGGAGAAGAGTGCATTGAACCGCTCACCCCTTTCCTCTCAACAGACTTCAAGAGCCTCCTTTTCCCCTCCCCTTGTGTTAGCTGCATGAGAAAGAGTGAAAATTCAGTAACATAAAACCAGAAGTCCAGAACTTATCGGAATTCGTATAAACTAAGGTCATCCGCTCGTAAACACTCTAAACTGAACTTATCACAGTTAGTGCCCATTTCCCGGTTCAGCCGGAACCGATCCCTGTGCTCCACAATTATTTCAATTAGTCATCGAAGTCTAGATGGAAGCAGAGTTTCCTAGTCACGATCAATACCGCAACTTTTGTAACGAGGATATCGAATAGCTGTGAAAGTGTGAAGACTGCACTACAATGGGCTTAGAGGTCGAACGCGAAGGCGACTACGTGCTAGCGGAGAGGGC